CTTCCTTCCGAGGAGTGGCTGGTGGATTTGAACCACCAGCCTTCTGGTTAGCAGTCAAGTGCCTTAGCCACTATGCTACCAGCCTCGGAAACCCTATGGGGCAGTTCTACTCTGTCTTATAGACTCATTATGAGTTGGAATTGACTGGACAGCAATGGTTTTCTTCATAGGACAAAAGATCCCTTGGACAAAAGCTTTAATACAGATATATTAAAGATGGGAAAAGTTAAATCATGAATTTAACTTTTTACACAAAGTACAGGAGGTGTATGTGTGGAGCAGTTGTACAGAGAGAACAAAACGTTATCTTTTTCTCCCATTTCAGTTTGTGAATAATGAACTTAACCCACTGATACAAAGTGATTAATAAAACAGTCAGAAATCATATCTCTGGTTATCCATGTTTTTCCTTTTTGAACATTAATGCACAAGTAAAATATTTACTCCTTCCAGACATCTTAGATTTTGGCTTTTTCCATTACTTGTCCTCTTTTTGTTTTTACTGTGGTGAAAATATACACAACAACAACAATATCAATCAAACATATATACTTTAGTGTCACTGATGACTATTCACTTTGTTTTGGGAGAAATTGCAGCATTAGCACATCTTGTTAGAATCCATAATCGTTTTTTATACCCTCTCGTTGTTGTTGTTGTTACGTGCCGTCGAGTCGGCCCCAACCCATAGTGACCCCTCCTTGGGTTTCTGAGGTGGTATCACTATGGAAGTAGATTGCCTAACCTTCCTTCTGATGAGTGGCTGGTGGGTTTAAACCGCCAGCCTTCTGGTTAGCAGTCAAGTGTCTTAGGTACTATGCTACCAGAGCTCCTATTACATTTAGTAGAAATCCGCAATCCTAACATCACCAACAAGGCTTTTAAAAGTACCTGCCTCCAACACGGGTATATGGACAGATAGCTAGGTGGACAGGCTAAACAATTAGGTATGTCTAAATGGGGAGTGTATCCAAGATCATATATAGGGTTGGCAGACAATGGTTCTATAAGTTTATGTGAATGATCAGAATTCCTAGGTGTATAGTACAGCTGAAAAGGGGCAAGGTTGTGGTCACTGCTTGGTCACAGCCAGCTACCCACAGCAACCAAGTAGTTGATCCTGCGGGCTTGGGACCATAGTCGCAGGAGACATCAAGCTCAATTGGCATAACATACTATACAAAACATTGTTCCACCTACTACTTTGGTGAGTGGCAACTGGGATCTTAAAATCTAGCAAGCTGCCATCTAGATGCAACGATGGGTCTCTCCTCGTCAACAAGAAAGAAGAAAACCAAAATTAATGGAAACAATCAGTCCTAGCGACTGGTACACCATCTGATCTGCAACCTATACAACTATGAGACCAGAAGAACTAGATGGTGCCTGGCTACCACTGTTATCCACTTGGAAGGGATGTAGGAGATCCTGCATAGAGAGGGAGAACAATGTGGAACAAAACTCAAAATCATTTGGAGGCAAAAAAAAAAAAAAGAAGAAGGTGGGGACCAGGTTTGCTGGTCCAATAGAGCCTGGTGGAACCACTGAGACTATGGCCCCTAGCTGCCGTTCAGGTCTGGAATTGAACCCATACCTGTGGTTTCCAGCCAAACAAAGTATAGGCATGTGAGTTAAACATTTACCTCAAGTAGACACATGCCCTGGAGAGAACAATCATGGGAGAAGGAAGGGCTGCTTATGCACAGGGAGACAGCTCAGGGGGCAGGAGAGTATGGAGGGATGGGCACTGGGTAGAGGTAACTATGGGGAGGAAGTGGGAGGGGGAGACTGTTGCATTATGGTAAACTGTGGTCAATGACATGAGACAAAGTGTATGTGAACTGCTGTATGAAAAGTGAATTTGCTCTGTAAATCTTCACCCAAATCACGATAAATAAATAAATAAATAAAGTACCTGCCTCCACCTGATCTCCCCACTCAAAAGGAAGATGGGGCAATCCACTTCCGTAGTGATACTGCCTTGAAAACCCAAGGAGGGGTCGCTATGAGTCAGGTCTGACTCGACGGCACACAACAACAACAACAACAAATCTTTTCCGCTCCTTTCCACTCTCTCTCTGTGCTTCAGTGAACTCTTCTGTTCTGGTTTCTTGAAGAAGTTCATCAATTCTTTCAAGCTTTTGCACCTTATTACCTTTACTTGAAATGTGCCCCCTTTTAGGCCAAACTCACACACAAACCCCACTCTTTCCACAGCTCATCTCAACTTCGTATTTCATGTCACCTCTCCTAGTTATCTAGTGCTGCTGTAACAGAAATCCCACAAACGGTGGCTTTAACCAACAGAAATTTATTTTTTCACAGTTAGGAGGCTGGAAGTCCAAATTCAGGGTGCTGGCTCTGGAGGAAGGCTACCCCTCTCCGTCATCTCTGGAGGAAGGTCCTTGTCTCTTTTGAGCTTCTGTTCCTCAGGAATCTTCATGTGGCTTGGTATCTCTCTTTCCTCATCTCTGCATGCTTGCTTCCTAGTTTGTTCAATCTGTTCTTTTTATATCTAAAAAAAAAAAAAAAACTGATTTAACATACATCCTACACTAACACTGTATCATTATTATAACTAAGAATACCCATTCCTGAATGAAATCATAACCAAAGGTAGAAAAGGGGGAGGTTGGGGGAGGGGGGCTTGGTCCATAACATCATCTTGAAATGTCACTTTTCAGAGTCCTTCCTTCTCTGGCACCCTACGGAAACCTAGATCATACCATTATCCTGTTACAGAACTCCACTCTGTTTTGGCATTTCCCACTCCTGCCTAAATTCTTGTGTGTTTGGCTTTTATCTATCACCTTCACTCAAATTTAAGGTCCAGGAGTGGATGGGAGAATCTGTTTTTTCTTCCTTTGGCTTCCTCGGGGACAGCACAGGGCTTGTCTGGACTGAAGAAGTCTCTGCAGACTAAAGGAGGAAGGAAGTGTCAGAGGAACAGGTGAAGAACTGTGGGAGATGACAGGAGGGAAAGCTCAGGAAAAAGTGATGTAGATGCAAGGATGGGGGCAAATCCTCCTGTGGCTCAAATGTGGAGGTCTCCAGACAAGCGTCTAAGGAAAAGTGGATCGAAAGGACCTTGGAACATGCGGGTGTCCTCCGCCCTTAGCGGCCTCAGTCAGGGTGGGGCGGATGACAGATAAACCCGCACAGAGCAGGTGAAAGGGTGTTGCAGGTGGAGCCCATCAGGGGTTTTTAGTGCCCGCCACCTCGCGCCAGGGCGCCCCTGACTGGTAGACTTCGCCGTCAGTTTCTTCCCAAAAGGCCGACGGTGACTGGATCATCTCTGTCCCCACAGCACATTTCCTGGAGCAGGCAAAGTCTGAGTGTCACTTCACCAACGGGACGGAGCGAGTGCGGTTCCTGGACAGATACATCCATAACCGGGAGGAACTGTTGCGCTTCGATAGCGACTTGGGGGAGTTCACTGCCGTGACCGAGCAGGGCCGAGTGTACGCCGAGTACTGGAACACCCAGAAGGACTTCCTGGAGGGGAGACGGTGGAGAACTTCTTGGTGCAGCGGCGAGGTGAGCGCGGTGGGGCGGGGTCGAGGGCCGGTGGGGACTGTGTCCGAGGGTGTGTGTGTGTGTGTGTGTGTGTGTGTGTGTGTGGTGGGTCCCTGGTGTGAGAGGACAGAACAGGGAAAGTTTTCGTGTGTGTGAGGTGTGGGTGCAGGAGGGTGGCCTTCAGGTTGTCCTTGGGGCCACAGTGGGAAAGCTGAGTGGGGAGGGAGCTGGGAGCTGCAAGGAAGGGGCCTGAGATGGAGGAGACTGGGGCCGAGAAGGTTCCTCAGAGATGGAGGGTGGTCCTCAGAGTTCTGGGAGGGAATTTCAGGTGGATGTGGTTGGGTGAAGGTTTAGGGGAGGGCAGATGAGGAAAGTAAACATTTGGGATAAGGTAAGGTTAGTCACAGACTGTCCTTACCTAGGTCCTTCTGAATCTTGAAATTCCTGAAATAAAAAATATGTCGTGTTTATTTACAAAGCATTTCATTGGAGCAAAAGTACCAATTGTGGTTCTGTATATTTGGGGGGGGTGGAAGTGAAGGAAATTCTAAGGCACTTCTGACCTTTTCAATGCTTCTTTTAGGTCTGAATTTCCTGGTATTTTTGTTTTTTAATGTGTATATTTTTATGTTGCAAAAATAATTATGAAACTAGATTTTTGGAAGTTGTGTTAGGCTGGGTTCTCTAGAGAAGCAAAACCAATAAAACTTAGAGAGAGAGAGAAATTTATCTTAGGAAAATAGCTCACACACTTATAGAAGCTGGCAAGTCCCAAGTTCTTGGACCAAACGTCAAGCTGGAGGCTTTTCCTGACTCACACAGCTGGGGGGGCTGACGAACTCAAGGTTGGCAGGCAGCATACTGACTGTTGACTCCAACAAATAGCGAATCCAAGATCTCCAGGCCAAATGGTGGATTGTTTACTTACAGACAGTTGTAGGCAGCACAACAGGATCCCAATCGACAGAAGACTGTCTCTTTTCCCAGGATGTCCATAAATATATTGGAAGCAGGCCACACCCCTCGGGAAACTCCCTGTCAATGGATTGGCTGCTCAAAACATATACATCGGATCCCATCATAGGAAAAATCCACATCACAACTGCTTAAACCACACAGAATTGTGGTCCAGCCAAGTTGACACACAATTCTAACTATCACAGAAATATAATTTTCTGTCAAGATATAGATATTGCTATTTTGATAATAAAATGTCCTGCTATTTTTGTTGGTTTTTAAATGTATATATTGTTACATAGTTGAAATAATCATAACTCTAGCAATTTTTGCTGTTTTTATAATAATGCTGGGTAGAGTTGTAACATAATTTACCTCATAGTCTCCTTGTATTGCTACCAAATACTCAGTTGAAATTTTCTCTTTTTATTTTTAATTTATGTATTTCTTGATTCTCAGGCTCTTAAACATTTTTCATCTATTTATTGGTCAGTTGAAATTACTATGATAAGAATTATATGTTGACTCTCATCTCTAGAGTCTTAGGGTTTTTTCAAAGAAATGGGTTCTCTCCGAAGTAAGATTATTAACATGTTCCTGATATTTGAATCAGAGTCTTCTTCAGCTTGTGGTTTATAATTTGACTGTATTTTCAATGTTAAGAATTTAAACACTTTTATTAAATAAGGTATATTGCAAAATTTTTAGTAATAATTTGCCATTAATTGTAAATCTACTTTTTTTTTTTTTTCTGGTATTGTGAAAAAGTTGTCTCCCAAGTTTCTCCTTCTTTTTAAAAAACATTTATATTTCCCAAGGGTCTGACAGTGTCTGGAATTGTCTAAAGTATTAAACACACATATTATTGAGCCCTGGACCCTACCCTGACCTCAAATGTCAGTTTTGACACAGCTGTAAAAGGGTAACAATTCCAATACCAGATATGTTTCTTTTGAAAAAGTAGAGGATTTTACCAGATGGAAGTAAATATTAAAACTTTTTGGAATGAATGACTTGCCTTGTTACCTTGTCCCTTCTTCAGATTTCATGTTTCCCTCGGAACTCAACTGATAGAGAATCATCTCTATCTATTCTTGCTTCCCAGTGGCAGAAAGCAAGATAACATTCTAATCCTTCATCCTCTAATCTCCCCACCAGTCCCACTGCTGTTCCTCAACCTGTCCATACTACTTTGAACCACATTTTCTTCCAGACTAGTGTGAACCCAGTATTATGGGAGGGGTCGCTATGAGTCGGGTTTGACTCAACAGCACATAACAGCAACAACAACAACATATATTTAAGGCTAAGGTCCAACCACTATTTATTTATTTTAATTGTATCAATTCACATATAACCCACTTTCCTTGGAACTCAACTCAGAGAGTTAGACAATCACCTCTATCTATTCCTGCTTCCCAGTGTTGGTAACATTTCTGTGGCTTTAAAGTTATGAGTGCATCAAGATAACATTCATTGTCTTATCTCCCCACCTGTACCATTGCTGTTCCCCAATCTATCCATACTACACTGAATGACACTTTCTCTCAGAATAAGCAAAAATAATAACTAGCTAACATATTGAAGGCTAAGAACCAATCATTGTCTTACTTATTTTAATTGTGTCAATTCTCACATAACTCTAAGAGGTAAGGTAATATTATTATTCCTCTTTATAGATGACAAAGCTGAAGAACAGGGGGATTTAAAAATAAATAAATAAAAACCTCCCAAGACCATCTGGTAAAAGGCAGAGTCTGCATTTCAGCCTAGCCACACTAAAAAAAAATTTGTAAACAGTTTAACAAGGCATAACTATTTCAATTATAGAAAAGTTCACAATTTTATTCATATCTCCCAAATCTAATGGGTCCATCTTGTAAGGGTTCAACTCAAGGCCCATGACCTACTGACTCATACGGCCACAGGGCCAGCTTTGAAGGAGGCCTGCCCAAGACTTGAGCCTGGGTTTGAAGGACAGAAAGGTAGTCAAGCAAAGTTCCTCTGTGTTCCTCACTCATTCTCTCTGCCTTTTCTCTCCTAGTGGAGCCTGTGGTGATTGTGTATCCTGCAAAGACTCAGCCCCTGCAGCACCACAACCTCCTGGTCTGCTCTGTGAATGGTTTCTATCCAGGCCACATTGAAGTCAGATGGCTCCGGAATGGGCAGGAAGAGGAGGCTGGGGTTGTCTCCACAGGCCTGATCCAGAATGGAGACTGGACCTTCCAGATCTTGGTGATGCTTGAAGCCATTCCTCAGAGGGAAGAGGTTTACTCCTGCCAAGTGGAGCACCCAAGCCTGAAGAGCCCTGTCACAGTGGAATGGAGTGAGAAACTATCTGCCCTCATAAATTCCCACTCACCAATAAGGGGGATTTTGCTTGTCTCTGAGTGTCAGGTTCCTCTTCCCACATCATATTTCCATTTTCTCCATATTCTCCTCAGATACATGTCACTGAGGGTAGCTCTGTGATAGTTTTCACAAATGCCTATAGCCCTGGGGAGACAATTAGACCTGGCAGGCAGAAAAGAAGTTGTCCTTGTTTTGAACTTTCTCATGATTATCACAGGCCACGGTCATCTTGGCCCTGGGTACCTGTCCCTGGCCTCTGGGTTGGGCTTCTACTTCAGGTGCTATTGCTCTGAGTTGTATAGATGTTCACTGTGATCTGAGAAGAGGAGCATCCTCTACTATGTAGGATCCTTCCTGCCTGAGGGGAATGCACTCTCAGCTCTGCCTTCTATTAGTCCTGTCACTCTAGACAAGCTACTTATCCTCACTGATAAGATGGGCTACTTATCCTGACCTTATATCTAGGCTGTGATATTTAATGCATTAAATGCCTGAAACTTCTATCTATACAATGTAATTTTTAAAACTTTTTTTTTCCCCCAGAAGTGGCCAATTATTCTATTTCGCAGAGCAGACTTCTTCCCCTATTCTCAAAGCTCTGAATCTTGGGGTCTCAATTAGAGAAAATGTAGCAAAAAAAAAAAAAAAAAAATCACTAAACCTGGGTTTTTCTCTTAGGAACACAATCTGAATCTGGACAGAGAAAGATACTGAGTGGAATTGGGGCCTTTGTTCTGGGTCTGCTCTTCCTTGGGGTGGGACTGTTTACTAACTTCAATAATCACAAAGGTAAGGGACCTGCTGGTAGCTGAGATTCCCCCATAGACTTCTCTGAGGAAAGAAATACAGCTATTTTCTTTATCTGTTAATCTGTGACCCTATATAAAGCTTTCATATTTTATATTTTGGAGCTCTGGTGATGTAGTGCCTAAGGCACTTGACTGCTAACCAGAAGGCTGGCAGTTCAAATCCACCAGCCACTCCTAGGAAGGAAGATTGGGCAATCTATTTCTGTAGAGATACCGCCTCAGAAACCCAAGAAGGGGTGGCTATGAGTCGGACCCGACTTGCCGGCAGTGAGTTTGGTTTTGGTTATATAAAGCTTTTGTTTTCCAGCCTATCTCAAATTTTGGGACATCCAGAAATAAAAAGCCCATCATTCTTTTGTCAAAGCATAGGGGTTATAATCTAAGGCAGATAAAGGACAGGTTACTATGCATGGAGATCTTGCATCAAGATCCTGGGGCAAATGTAAGAGGGGCCAGTAAGGCTGATCAATTATGCTGGGTTTGTGTGGCAGAAGCTTCATAGATGCAGGTTCTCACACTCTGCTCCCTTCTCTGCCATTGTGTGTTGTGGGTTGTAGTGTTAGAGAAACTTCAGGTGGGAAATCTAGAACTGAGGATGTGGGGACAGACTTGCCTCTGTGTCTTATAAAAAATGTATCTTCCTCTCTTTTTCTAGGATACCCTGGACTTCACCCAACTGGTAATGTCCTTTAGTCCTCTTTTAGAATTAAATTTGGTTCTCCTGGAGTTGATAGGAGAGATGACAAAACAGAAGACAGAAATATCAAGAAAGACTTTCGATTCAGAGTTCTGATCAGGCAGTTTGCACTAAAGATTCTTTTCTCTGCTTAAAAGCCCTATGCTTCACATATGAGTTGAACATTTACCTGAGGTAGATACACTCCTTGGAGAGAACAATCATGGGAGAAAGAAGGGCTGCTTATGCACTGGGAGACAGCTCAGGGGGCAGGAGTGCCTGGAGGGATGGAAGCAGGGAAGAGGTAACTGTGGGGAGGAAGTGGGAGGGGAGCTGTTGCATTGTGGTCAATTGTGGTCAATGTCATGAGACAAAGTGTATGTGAACTGCTGTATGGAAAGTGAATTTGCTCTGTAAATCTTCACCCGAATCACAATTAATAATAATAACAATAATAATAATAAAAGCCCTAGGCTTCAGAGCAGCATTGGGTCACAGAGACTTAAGGTAAGTAATATTCTTCTTCCTCTGACTGTGTTGATATAACATGAAGCCCTGAGAGAGATGGATAAGAAGTTGCTTATATAAGAGTTAGGTTTGAAAACCACACTCATCTCAGTCTTCTTCAGAACTCCTGAGCTGAGGTATAGATGGTGACACTCAAGGAAATTTGTCTTAGCTTCTTCACAGCATGAAAAGATTTCATGCTTCGTTTCTATTCTTCCACACAGAGAGTGAGTGCTTCTTCAGGATCTGTCTCATTCCTGGTTCAGTGACCCTACAGAAAATGTCCTCCTTGACGGGTTTACTCAGCCCCTGGCCTTGGCCTGTAGGTTGCCAATATTATTTATAGTACCTTGTTAATTTTTTTCCCACTTTCCTTTTTATTTAACCCTTCCTCCTTCCCATGAATGTGAACTCACCTTCTGCTCACATTACTATATAAAAATTTTCTCAAACATGAAGTGAAAACTATCTCTTTCCTACAGCTTCAAGAAAAAGAAGTAAAACTAAAAGAGAAAAGGAGAATTGATTACATTAAAGTACAATTGTTTTCACTTATATTCTTGAATGTTGGTCAGATGTGAATCTGGACAATTTCCTTGCTTCCTTGCCTGCTTTTTCTTCGTTTTTTTGTAAGATACGTTTAACTGAGCTAGGAGAAAGCCCCAAATCATGGTGGTCTCCTACACCTTTCCATTGTCAAGGACAAATACACAGCACCAAGGGCTATAGACGGGAGGCAACAAACATGAGAAACAGTGATGTCTGGAATTATTAAGTTGTCAGTATTTTTAATTAATTTCTTCATTAAGTCCTTCTGGGTACTGTCAATTCATGTTTTGAGTGTTTTCTTTGTGTGTGTGAACATACTAAGTACAAAATGCCAGCCATAGACCCAATTACAATGAAAAAAAGCAAATAAGCAAGAATATGATTTGTTTGACTTTTAGAACTTAGCAGGCTGATACATAAGTTTATGAGGAAAACTATATATTCTGGGAAATTTTTTTGAAAAAGAAGCATAATGAGGAGTGACCAACCCTATAATATGTTCAAATATACTATGCATCTGTTTTAGGAAATACGTTTTTTGGTATTGATTCATTGTTGGTTATATGCATTAGTGAAATAGTCTATAATTAGATGTCGAAAAATGTTTGAGTTTTACGTTAAGAAAAATGAAGAGTTTCTAGTTGTTAGTAAGGTCTATCCTAAACTCATTGTTTTCAACAAAATAAAATAAAGTATAAAATTATTTTAAAATTTTTTATTTGTTATTATTTTTGTTACTATTATCATTTTTATATCAAGCCTTGTGAATTTAAAAATAAAATACTTTTCCAAACACTGATAAATTGCTGGTGGAAATGTAAGATGGCACAACCACTCTGGAAAACAGTCTGGCAATTTCTTAAAAACTTAAAATGTCTGTGTCATGTTGTTGTTAGGTGATATCAAGTGGGTACTGACTCATAACAACCTTATATATAACAGATCAAAACATTGCCTGGTCCTGCACGATCCTCACAATTGGTGCTATATTTGCCCCCATTGTTGCAGCCACTCTGCCAATCCATCTTGTTCAGAGTCTTCCTTTTTTGTTTGCTGGCCCTCTAGTTTACCAAGAATGCTTTCCTTCTCCAGGGACTGATCCCACCTGATAACATGTCCAAAGTACATGGAATGAAGTCTTACCATCCTCATTTCTAAGGAGCAACAAACATTCTGGCTGTCCTTCCAAGACAGATTTGTTTGTTATTCTAGTAGTCCATGGTGTATTCAATATTTTTGCCAATACCATAATTAAAATGCATCAGTTCTTCTTCACTCTTCCTTATTCATTGTCTGGCTTTTACATGTACATGAGGCCATCGAAAGTACCATGGCTTGGGTGAGGCACCTTAATCCTCAAAGTGACATCTTAGATTTTTAACACTCTATTTATTTACTTATTTTATCTCTCTACCTTTATTAGTTACTCATTGTTAGAATTTTTTTTTTAATTTTATTGTGCTTTGGGTGCAAATTTACAGAGCAAAATTTGTTTTACATTCAACAATTCGTATACATTTGATTTCACACCCCGATTACCATTCCCAACCCTAACAAACTCTCCTCTTCTCTCATCCCTCTGACTACCCCCTCCCTGTGATTTTAAACACTTTAAAGAGGTCTTTTGCAGTAGATTTCTCAATGCAATATGTCATTGCATTTCTTAACTGCTGCTTCCATGGGTGTTGATTGTGGATCCAAATAAAATGAAATCCTTGACAACTTCAATATTTTCTCTATTTATCATGACGTTCTCATATGTATGACCCAATAATTCTACTCCTTGGAACTTACTCAAGAAAAATGAAAACATAAGTCTTCACAAAGATAGATATGCTCATGTTGATAGAAACATTAGTCATAATAGCCTAAAACTGGGAACAATCAAACATCCAGCAACTAGAGAATACATAAAGTATAGTATATCTGGGCAATGGAATACACTTCAAGAACAAAAAGAAAAAATGCTGATATAGAGTATTAAATGGATGAACTTCAAACACATTTTACTAAGTGAAAACAGCCAGACACTAAAGACTATTTGTCATTTGATTCCATTTATAGAAAATATTAGGAGCTCTGGTGGCATAGTGCCTAAGGTACTTGACTACTAACCAGTGGGCTATTGGTTCAAACCCACCAGCCACTCCTCGGAAAGAAGGTTGGGCAATCTCCTTCTGTAGTGATACCGCCTTGGAAACCCAAGGAGGGGTCACTAAGAGTCGGGTCCAACTTGAGGGCACATAACAACAGGAACAAATATGAAATATTTAGAAAAAACAAATTTATAGACACAAAAAAGCACATCATTGGGTGCCTGGAGTTGAGTAGCACGTGACTTAACTGCAAACAGGAAACTCTTGATAACAAAAATGTTCTAAAACTAGATTGTGTTGATAGTGACACAAATCTATAAATTTCCTAAAAATCATTGACATTTACATGTATAATGAATGGATTTTGTGATACATAAATTATATCTGGAGCACTGATGGAGTTATGTCAATAAACCTGTTAATATAATCTTTAAAGAAAAAAGTCTTCCTGATTAAGCCAAAAAAAAAAAAAGTCCAGAAGATATAAAGGAAAACATAGATTAGAATAAAATTTAAAATTTCTTTGCATAGAGAAAATACGAAATTTGTAAACTTCAGAGAAAAATTTGCCACAGGCAAGGTAAATATTAGGGCTAAACTTCTTATTAAGTAAAACTGTCAGCAAGTCAATACATAAATGAACTAGAATTCAACTGAAAATTGGACAAAGGATATATATTACTTATAGAAGTGAACATACCTTGGGCAATAAAATATAAGGTCAAGCTCACTAACAATCAGAAAAATGCAAATCAAAATAGCAATGAGTTAAAACATTTCTCCCCCAAATTGGCAAATATAATAGGTTTTTGTTTGTTTGTTTGTTTCTTTTTGTATTTAAATCAAGTATTTATAAGACTCTGGTGGTGTAGTGCCTAAGGCATTTGACTGCTAACCAGAAGGCTGGCAGTTCAAACCCACCAGCCACTCTTTGGAAGGAAGGTTTGGCAATCTATTCCATAGTTATACCACCTTGGAAACCTAAGGAGGGATCGCTGTGTTTTGGATCCAACTCCACAGCAGTGAGTTTGGTTTGGTTTATGGGAATGGAGTCTCTCATACTTTTAATAGGATCATGAATGGATGTCAGGTTGTTGTTGTTGTTGTTGTTGTTATGTGCTGTTGAGTCTCATAGCAACCCCTCATTGGGTTTCCGAGGCAGTATCACTATGGAAGTAGATTGCCCCATCTTCCTTCCCAGGAGTAGCTTGTGAGTTTGAACCACCAGCCTTCTGGTTAGCAGTCAAATGCCTTAGGCACTATGCCACCAGAGCTCCCAGATGTCAGGTTAGAGGTATCTAAATTCAAAATGAAATGTAACATGATTGATAACAACAATTAAAATCCACTATTGATATCTGTGGTAGTTATAGTTGTGTGTCTACTTGGTTGGGCCGTGGTTTTGAGTAGCTGGGGTAGATGAATGTAGTTGTTCCCCATGATGAGATTGTAATCATCGCCATGGTGGAATCTGCTGTGAGCAGCTAAGTAGTTGCCTTTGGGATGTGGCCTGTTTCTAGTATGTAAGGAGAAGTTTTTAGAAAGTTCTCTAGTTTTTGGCACATTTGGATCCTGCATTTGGCCAATTCTTCATCTCCAGTCCCAGTTGCCTGCTGTGTTGGCTGCTAATCTTGGAACTGTGCCATTTTACCTGCCAACCTTGGGTTCATCATCCTTACCAGCCAGCGGCTATCTGAGTTAGGAGATGCCCCTAGCTCTAGTGAGCCTAAAATAAGAGGCAGAGTTGAAGCTGAAGGTTGACGGGACTTCACCCATCCCCTGGAGCTGCTGCTCTGAATTTGGACTTCTAGCCTCCTAAACTGTAAGAGAATAAATTCCTGTTTGTTCAAGCCATCCACTTGTGG